ACTGACTGATAAGCCCGTATTAGCTCACTATAAAACCGCATGCAGATACTGAAGTCCATTGTGATGCAAGTGCAGAAGGTTTGAGTGGAATGCTAATGCAACGCGATGAAGATCGAAAATGGCATCTTGTTTATTGCGTCAGTAAGAAGACAACAGAAGCAGAGAGAAAGTATCATTCCAGCAAATTGGAGTTAATGGCCATCGTATGGACGTTGGACAGGTTAAGACAGTTCTTAATCGCATAAGATTTACAATTATTACTGACTGTCACGCTCTAATATATATGAATGCTAATGCTAATATATATGAATGCTCTAATATATATGACTACAAATCCTCAAATAGCCCGTTGGTGTAGTTTGATTCAAGAATACGATTTTGAGATAAAGCATAGGTCAGGAAAAAGACTGTCACATATTGATGCTTTGAGCAGAGGTCCTGTATCAGAAGCTGATGACACGATGACGAGAATAGCTGAAAATTTTGAAGTTTGCCAGTCCCTAACCGAAGAAGAGCAAATACTAATGATACAACATGCTGACCAAGACCTGAAAAGAATTATCGAAATTTTCAAGAAGAAACAAGAGGAACGAACTGCTGAGGAGAAAAAAATAATTATGAATTACGTGTTTAAGAAGAATAGACTGTTTTGGAAAACCGTAGTAGATGGAAAGGAAAGACTACTCTATGTGATTCCAAAAAGCATGAGGAAGAGTGTAGTGGTGAAATTCCATGATTTATTTGGTCACTTTTCTGTGGATAGAACAGTTAGCAAAATTAAGGAATTATATTGGTTTCCAAGCATGAAACGATACGTACGAAGACACATATCAGCATGTATTGAGTGCCTTATGAATAAAGCGACAGGTGGCAAGCAACAAGGACTGTTACATCCCATAAAAACCTGGTAAAAGACCGTTTGCTATTGTTCACATGGATCACTTGGGTCCTTTCGTAAAGAGTTCGAGAGGTAATCAAGAACTATTAGTGATAATTGATAACATGACTAGGTTCGTGAGAATTTTTGCAGTTAAGAATACTAGTGCTAAAAATGTTTTACAGTCTTTGAAGAATTCTGTTAATGATTTTGGACTACCGGAAAGAATAATAAGTTATAGAGGATCTTGTTTTACTTCTCACCAATTTAAGCAGTATTGTAAATATAACGGAATACATCATACTTTGAATTCTACCAAACACCCCAAGCCAATGGTATGGTAGAGCGCGTCAACAGAACAATTTTAGGAACGATAATGACAAGTTTGATGGATAAACAACACAGAGATTGGGATTCAAAAATAAAAGAGACAGAAAGAAATCTTAACAACATGGTTAACAAAACTACGAATAAGACTCCATTTGAAATGCTCCATTCTCCCAGATTTAATGATGGAATACTTAGGAAGTTAGCAGATGAAGATTCAGATGCATGGAAAGACCCGCGAGAAATCCAAGAGCAAGCGCGAGGAAGAATTGAGGAACAGCAAGTGAAAATGAAAAAGAGATTCGATAAGAAGAGGTGTCGTACACTAATATTCGAGCAAGGAGAAATAGTTGTGATGAGATGTGCTCCTAAGGCTACAGGTCAACCTACCAAAACACAGCCGAAATATCGAGGGCCCTTTTTAATAACGGAAATATTACCTAGCGATACCTACAGAATAACTCAACTAGAAGCGAAGAATCGAGGTCGCTACTTCACTACCACTGCTCATGTGAGCCAGCTGAAGCCATGGAGGTGCGATCCCAGCTCTGACGATGATGACGACGACGGCGACGATGAAGATTCTGACCAGTTATCAAGCTTAATTCCTCGACGGAATACAATCAGATCTGTTCGTAAGGACTGATGGAAGTGCTCTCCCCTGTGATTAAGGTGAGATCTTTCCTTTTTTTTTGTGTGTGTATGTGCTTATCTACGTATGTTTGCTGATAGAAAACTTTAGAAACTTTGAACTTTTGAACATTAATTGACTCTAAACTTTTGAACATTAGCTGAAAGACTTTAGTGCATTTGTTTTGAATCATTTTAGGACTGAAAAAAATTGAGTTATTTCATATATATCACGTATTTAGTAATGATTTACAGAAAATTTTCGATTATTATGCTAATGTATCAAAAAATATGTGAATTTATGTATGTGAAAATATTTTAGTAAGTTTATTACCATATCAAATTTTAGTATAATGTGTATTCGTTTCAGTGTATTAGTAATATGTATGTTTAGTATTGTGTATAAAAGTCGAAGTAGAAAATTGTATTAATTACAAATTGAAAATTTGTACTCTGAACAATCGGGACGATTGTCAGGTCAGAATGACCGAATGTTATCAGCCGATAGATGGCACGTAGAAAAGCCGCCGATAGGGGGCGCACGATATCAATCGAGAATCGGGAAGCGAGAGAATAGGATTGATGTTAAGAATGTTCCGCAATGATATGTATATAATTATTGTAATAATAAAGCATTTATAAAATGCAAGAGTTATCCCGATTGAATGAAAAGTGAAAGCCCGACTTACCCCTAGCCGTCCTGAGTTTGGTAACGGAGATTAAAGTTAACATTCCTTTTATTACTTTTATCTATTTCTTATTAGTAAAATAAAAGCATTTAAAAATGCAATATTTGTGCTCTATCGTTTTGAAATTAAGACCTACATATATGAGATAAAAATACCACAAGTCTACTTCTTGCAGATACTAGACCTTCCTAATGGAATTTTCATATTTTTTGAGAGACTGTTCCCCGTATCTAACTGTGCAAAATTATTCGCTGCTAAAGTAGAATGATTTTCTTCTATAGAACGTTTATAAGCAAGGATTGAACGGACTAACTTCTTCTCTTTAATGCATTGGAAAACATGTTAAAATGATGCACATCTTTATGCTTTAATGATCACTGCATTCTTTGGAAACTTTCATTTTGAAGAAAATCATTGACCAACTCAGATACGTGAGGGAAAACATTATGGTCCATAAATAAAAAACGGTCTACTCACCTGGAAAACGTCAGATCCGATATTGCTATATATTATCTTCATATCTTTTACAAAATCGCTCGAAGACGTAGAGTTCTGAGCGTTCCTTTTCCATTATAGCTTGCCTACACTAACAAATCTCTCCAAACTAGTTTTTTCCATGTTAATGCGAACGGTAACCTCTTAAAGCTCTCTCACGCTTCCCTCTTTCTAACATCCAACATATTTTGAAATATTTTCTTCCTGATTTATTACTAAAAGATAGACGTTAATATTCTTCTTCCTTCCAAAAAAGTTGCAAATTGGCCATATTTCAGTCAACGTCTGAAATAAAACTCCATATCTTTGGTTATTATGAGGTACTGTTTTTTTATACGGTAACATCAGCGGTCTGCAGATGTTGGCTTTTTTTTCATGCGACAAAGCTAAAAAATGACATAAAGTCTCTCTGAAATGCCCTCATATTCTATGTCAATTTTATTTTATTTTACTTTATTTATTTATTTATTTATTTATTTTGCACAATACAGCGACTTGACATCTTTATTTGAAAAAATCAATTTTCCTAGCACAGAGCACAATTTCGAAGTTCCTGACTTTCTGCAAACGCGCAAAACTGTACATACTAATGAATGGGAAACAAATTGCTGGCTTATAAACCAGGTTTTTTGAACTTTTTGTAAATTATTTATCATGAAATAGTTACTGTTGCAGCTAAATCTCTCCAGAAATTTGATCTGAAGACTTCGTCAAGTTGATGCTACATACCGATAAACTACTGGATGAGTTTTAAGTCATGGACATTTTGTATATTTATCCTCAGACGTTCTTTTTTGTGTTCTGAAAATTCTAGTTGTGACTGCTCTGATTCCATCAATCCGAAAATTCTACTCTTCAAAAGAAATTCAGCTTGCAGCATCTTATTTACTCATATATCATCAACTGATTAAATTTGCATGCGCAGAGAGATTCGTTTAAATTAGTACCGAACATTATATATAATTTACGCTGTTCGATTTGCATTAGCACTTTATTATGCACATTCCAAGTATAATTAATTTTTGATCACTAATATATTAAGACGAAATAACAACTAAAAGAATTAATTCTTCGGGAAATACAAAGTTCTGTTTCTGCCTGTGAAAGGTTAGTTGCATGATAGTTCATAGTTTTCCTTGTGACAGATGTGACTAAAGTTATTTTCTAATAGAAAATATATGAGGTATTTCTCCCGCCTTCTTAGCATGCCTTTGTAGTGTAGTGGTCTGCACGCTGGGCGCGTATTCCATAGGTCCGTGGTTCGATTCCCGGCGAGGGCGTTGCTCATTTTTCATCTTTCAAGCTTCCAAAAATGCCTAATGTCTCTACAAGCATCTGAAGCATATGCAGTTCTTAAACGTTTTTTCTGAAACATGTATAGTCCTTTAACTCAGTTAAATAATCTAGTTCATCTAAATGCTATAAAAATTTTATTAAATAGCGAATAATAAATAAAATTGTTCTTCACTATAAATCTATGAATAAAAAATTATGAAGCAACGAAAGAACGGAATATACTCTTTTGTATGTTGTCTTAACATTTTCTTAATTCACAAAATTTTAATTTTAACTTCTACTTACGTATTAATTATTCTTTTATTTGAAACTGAAATAATTCGATGATAAACATCCTAGAAGTAAGCGTTATAGTCTGTTACTTTAAAGTAGGCACATAAAACCACCCTCCTCATTTGTGATCGCAATTCGTGTAGCACTGCACAGCATTTATTTTCTCCACGTCATATGATATTCTAGTTCAAGTCAGCTTTCATTCCCGTCCTTTCCATGAAGCAAAACAAGCTTAATGGAAATGAAATGGGTAAAAATGAAGCGACTCGACGTTTTTGCGTGCAGCTGTTGTTTAAATGCTTACTAGTCAAAGCAAGCTACGGAAAATATCCTTGAAGTATTTATTGCAAAATGACAGACCATAACTGAGAAATATATAAATGCACTGCCAGAAAACTAACGAACTCACTCACTTAATTCGTAATTCTTCTAGTCGATTTTGGGGTGGAAGATAGAGCTTCGCTTTTTTCTTTTTTGCAGAAATCGCTTTCTGGAGATTCTTTAGTTTTTCCAGTAGTTCTTTCTTTTCTATATTCTTCGTTGCGATCAATCGTTCTGTTTCAATAACTTGCATAGCTATTTCATTCATCCTAATGATAAAAGTCTACATTGTATAACTATCATAGTTAAAACAAGCCAAAAGAATAAATTTCTTTGAAGCGTATTAAGAAAAAAGTAAATTAAAAAATATAACGCGTAGCCTTAAAAAAGTCCGTAATTAATTATAAATAAACTATACTATTATATAATTTTCTAATATCAGTAGTCAAATATAATTATGCTATGCCAACTGCATATTCTGTATGAAGCCTTTAAATTCACAGTAGAACTCAATAAAATCCAGTAAAACTCTCAAGTAATCTCTAAAATCCCTGAAAAATTTCTAAAAGCATGCGAAGGTATAATAAAATGACTCATAGGCAGCTCTACGCAATATATATATTCGTATATAATATTCGTCCAATGGGCATAAATAAAATTTCGATGCACCAAAAAGAAGATGCTCCAAAAAGAATTCGGCCACGCCGTGCGATTGTTGGTGAACCAACAATTTTTCAGAAATTAACAGGGTTAAATCAATGTCGTTCCGTAGGCTTTCCAGCGTGTAACAGTAAAATGTACATAAAAATTACCATGAACATAAAATCAATGAAACAAAGCGAAAAATGATAGCAGATGTAAAAACACGCCAGTGAGCATTAGATTTAAGCATTTAAACAGCTGTAAACATAAAGGCATGCAATTTTAAGTTACCAAATAGACGTAAATGTACCGCTATTTTTTAAAAACAATTTTTCATCAAAACATGCTCTAAGATATCATAAAAATATTTGAAAGGGATGCAATGCACCGTATAAAACAATAAAAATATAAAATTAAACTACAAATATATCTATTTGTACAAATATATTATATAGGAAATAAGCTAAATAACTTGAGCTCAACTAAAGTTCTGCGACCCCACTGTCGACATGCGCAGTCTCTCTTGTAATATTCACTTGTGCTACTTTACTCACTCATGTTCATCCGAGATGGGTTTCAACTGCAACTAAACATGACGATAATATTTTCCTTCGGCTCGTCAAAAGCCTACCAATAATATCCGCTTCAACGAGAACTTGAATAGGTTCATAGGAGGGGTTAGTATCCGTTAAAACAACATCCAAGTCTTCCAGTGTAGAACCTTTGCTTATTGGCAGTGCACTTTCACATGTAATACCTTGAGGCAAGACTTCAAAATTGCGAGTCAAATTCCCATTTACTTGCTTGAACTTTATTTTCTAAGAGTTATGCTTATCTTTGTTAGTAGAAACACCGCCATACAAAAGTGTTTAATTACCTCTTGACGACGTATAAGATATTCCATTTATTCGGCAATACCCCTTAAAATATACTACCTTTCACAGCCAGTATCTCATAACACGAAAACTATTCTTTCTTTATCACTAGAGCTAAGGTTGGCTCTAAAAGCCTGAAGGAATACTTTTGGATTTGAACTTATATTTCATGCCTTAACATATTTGCAAGGAGAAATTTCATCTTCTTTCTTCTGACTGGGCTTGTTGGGGGTCTGCAATTGATCACACATGATGAAGAAGTTTTTTTTTACTAAAAATGAGACATTTTGAAAACATGTGGCACTTTCACATGATGAAGAAGTTTTTTTTTACTAAAAATGAGACATTTTGAAAACATGTGGCACTTTCTAACACAATGATAAAAAATAAGGCAACCGAAAAAGCATTTCTTATCCTTTATTATCTTCTGCCTTTTTTCTAGTGGCAGGACTTGAGCATTAAAACAATCAGCACTAGCATACTTGCCTTCACAAAATATGCATCTTGATTTCATTCTATCAGGTTCTTTTGTGGACGTGAGCAGTATTGATGCCGTAAGAATTTTGTTTCTTTGAGGTTCTAAATTATATTCCTTTTTCGTGCGCATCTTCGTATATCCATTTATAGTTAAACCAAAACCCAATATTGTCAAAGATATTCTTTCCTCTCTATGTTCAAGTTGGGTCCAAAAGAGTAACCCTTCTTTAAATCGTCGCAAAATTGTCTTAACTGTTAATTTAGATAAAGTAAAATTTTTCTTTGAGCCAATAGTTTCTAAAATATTTTGAGGAATTATACCTACGTTTTGAGGTTCAGCTTGTATTCTCATTATTTTGTTAAATTGTTTGATTCAATTTTCTGAAACTCAAATTTTTGTTCTTTTTCCCTAATTCTTGAGCTTGTGTTCTTGCCAATTTCGCTCCATTATTTAGTTTAGTTTTCTCTAACTCAAATTCTTGTTGTTGTTTCTTGAGTATATCATCAGTAATGTTATCTAAAATTCCTTTAACAATATCTGGGTCACTTTTTGTACTCATTCCCATTCAGAAAAATGTCCTTTAATCGAAGATTTTTGCTGATTATGGCACTACTTCACCTATTTCATCTACCAGAAGTTTTAAATCTTCTTTCTTGACGTATTTCACATAAAAATATAATTTAAAAACTCAATTAATAAATGTTGGTTAATACTATAACGGACGCCAAATGAAAGATATCTTAAAATTCACCAAATTTTCTGCTGGTTAATATTTACTTTTGAGCTCCATGCTTTACAAAAGCTTTAATAAAGAGATATTACTCATCAAAGATTCTCAAATAAAGACATTTTTGTTTACAGTATATATAACTTTACCAGGCAAGTGGAGAAAATCCCGCATTCCAATACATCACTTTTATTTTTCAAAAAATTTTCTTTTTTGAACAGCAGTAAACTGAAATTAAATATTTTTGCTCACAAACTGATTAATAACGCATCGCTGGTATTTATGTAACGCTAGTGTACTTATATTAAAATAAATAAATACATAACAAGCAGTCGATAACGTAAGCTAAGTGTCGACCATACTACACCAATACAAGAAAGTTCTAAGGCTGATTGACTACTGAACAAGTGATACATTAGAGAATATTCCAGACTTGGTGATCGTTATCACTTACTCAATTTTCAAGGCTTGACTATATAAGTCTTAATTTTAATTTTTAAAGAAATTATCTTCTTAGATTTATCTATTAAAGATCGTGCCTTCTTTGGCTATCGAATCCAGAACAGCTGCGGATGATTTCTGCATAGCCTTTGAACTTCAACATTTTTATCAATTGCTTGGTGCCCTGTTTAGGGCTTTTTCGAGGAACAATAATGAGTAAAGAATTCATAGATTACTTCATTTTGATATAAAAATTCTGGATAAAAATATTTCCAAATATTAAATTTTAGAGTTTGAAGATTCTTGGATTTAACAATACTGATAATTTAAATGCAAGATATGCTCCCGCTAAAGCATTTGAATATCTTATTACATAAAGGCAATCAAAGTGATTAGACATTACAATAGAAAAACAGCATTAACTTTTCTTTTAATTTTGAATTAAAGTCTATGAAAATAGCTTTATTTTATAATTATTATTAATTATTTTATTATTAATGCAGTAAAAACAATATCTTTAGAACACTATTTTAAATTTAACGTTATCAAACTTTTAACCACCATTTTTTCATTGTTAATCAAATGGTTTTCATACGTCAGAACATGCTTTATTAACACCTTTTTGCATCCATCATATTAAACTAAGCATTTCTAATGGTTAACCATATTTATAATTTTTTTTAATTAATTACAAATTAAATAAATTAGAATTTGCTATTGGATATTAATATGGAAAGATGAAAAAAAATTAGACTAGATTCATATCTCCAAGGACTTTTTTCCAGAAGCAAATAAATTTTTGAATGATTTAAACGCTTATTTAGTAAAAGTATACATTTTTCATTTAGTAAAAGTATACATACAAGCTTATTTAGTAAAAGTATACATGTCTATTTCAAGACTGTGATATTAAAATACACCATATGTTCACTTATCTTTTCAATTTAATGACTGAACAATGTCTATGAATGACTAAAGTAGAAGGCAAAATGAAATTTGTTAAAGCGTAGACGAGAAACTTAAAAATACAGCGCTCAGATAAACAAGAATGTGACTTCGAAAAGGCACCAAAACCAGATGAAAAAAAAAAAGAGCTGATTTTGTTAGTACAAGAAAGTGCATTTATGTTTAAGGCTCTTTTTAAATAAAACAAAATCTGATGTGTACACCACATGACTTCCTTGCACGAAATATTAAAGGATACACATTTTTTCTTGCATTTCATTTAAACTATTTCCTCGAGTTTCATTACAGATATATTTCTCATTCAGTTAACTCAGTTCTCGCTTCGCGGCAATGCAAAAATACAAAAACTCAAAATATTTTCATTAAAAACTGAAAGATATAGAAAAACCTAAAGAAACAAATACAGTTATAACAATTTTTACAATTACAGTTTGTACGCAAAAACAAGCAATTCGGCCAGCAGGCAGATTTTTCGGTGCACTAAACTGAAAGTTTCGTTTTGATAACACTCGACAAAAAGACACAGAAGGTGCAGAAAGACTTAATGCACTATGCTTCTCAGATTCAAATGTAAACAAATATGGCTGCTGAGGTTAAAAAAATCTGATATGTACACCAGATGACTTCCATGTACTGAACATTAAATTATACGCATTTTTTCCTGCATTTCATTTAAACTTATTTCCTCGAATTTCATTAGAGATGTATTTCTCATTCAATTAATTCAGTTTCTCACTTCGTGGCAAGGCAAAAATACATAAAAGTTCAAAATATTTTCATTAGAAATTGAAAGATATAGAAAAACATAAAACATCAAATACAGTTAAAAAATTAAAAAAAAATTGACAATTAAAATTACAGTTTTACGCAAAAACAAGCAATTCGGTCAGCAGGCAAGAAGGCACATTTTTCGGTTTCCTTTTGGTCTTACTGGGCAAAAAGACACTAATGGTGCAGAAAGACTTAATTCACTATTTTGATAAGTTTAAAATATAAACAAATATGGGTGCTATGGTTTAAAAAAAATAGTCTTAGCAGCTCTTAAACAACTTTTAAATTGTTAATAAATCTATAACTATTGCATGCAGATTAACTAGACGCATGAAAACCTTAACCGGAAGATAAGAACAACACAAATCA